TTGACTTGTTTAAGTTCTTCATCTCTTTTCATCTGTGGTTGAATTTCTATGTGTTTACTTGTGCTCTTTTTGCCATGATCCCTTAGGATTTCTAGTCCCTCTGTTTAAGATGGGAGTATGAGAGACATTAGGCTTTCAATCCTTTGAATGATAACATTAGGTAGTAACCTTTTTCATCCCAACTTTAGGACCATCTTGCATGATAATATTATGGTTGATCAGTTCCCCTTAGAGTCTTGTGTCTTCTCATCTCATAACTTTCTTAACACTTAATAAAGGATAACAATTGTTGTACGCTACGAGCCTTAAGTACATGAGGAATGATAAGTGGGGGGCCTCCTCTAACATTGTCTAGAGTGTTTAGCGTATGTCCTTTGGGCGATATGCGACGCATTCGCTCTTATGTCATAGTCTTTAGTGCAACATGAGTTACAAACTAACTCAATTCACTTCTTCTCATAAAAAACACAAACAAAGTTCAAACCTTTTCATCCTTCGGGATTGTTTTCAAACCTCATTTTTAGAGAGAGTATGTTGTTTTTCCGTTCTACCGCAAACAGGCATCGTCCATAATTGCTAGAATGGAAACTTAACATTACTTATAAAAAACACCAACTAGTCGTCTAGTTGCCCGAACTACGTTTGCTCTGATTTCTCATACCAGATGAGGATACGTAGGCACAAGACGACGATGTCTTGGCGAGCAACCTTCCCCCTTTCACCCGTAGTTTCCCGAACTACGTTGACTCTGACTTTCCCATTGCACAAGGGAATACGTAGGCATAGGACGGCGATGTCCTATCGAATATGTTCTTTCTCTTCACCCCCGTTTAGCAGTAGCTTTTAGATAGTTTTCACCCATAGATTAGACAACAAGCAAGGATCCCGTTGAATACAACGGACGTGAGGGGTGCTCATATCTTCCCCTTGCATAACCGACTCCCGAATCCAAGATTTGGTTGCGATGACCTTGTCTTTCCCTTTCTCTTAGGTTTTCTTTGATCGTTTCATTTCCCTCTCTTTGGGATAAATAACATTCAGTGGCGACTCTTCTATCTAGTTTGCCGGCTCTTTTTCGTAGTGTGCGACACTAACAGAATCATAGGTTCACTTTTATCGTCAAGCTTTCTTCTCCTTGCATCAGGAACATGCTTGTAGAAAATAGAGCCAAACACCTTCAAATGACTCACTAATGGTCGTTTTTCACTCCACACTTCTTCAGTAACCTTGTTCTTTAGTTTCTTGGTAGGGCACTTATTCAGAATATAAACAGCAGTAGTAACTACTTCACCCTATAAGGATTTTGGCATATTCTTCTACTTCATCATGCATCTTGTCATATCCAATATGGTCATGTATCTTTTTTCTGTTATTCCATTATGTTAAGTCGTGTAAAGAGTTGTTACCTCTGATCAATCCCATGCTCTACACAAAACTCTTCAAATATCTTTGACGTGTATTCGCCACCTTCATTTGTTCGCAGAACCCTGATCTTCTTTTCACTCTGGTTTTCGACAAGCATTTTGAATCTCTTAAATATTAAAAATACTTCGTCTTTGCGCCTTATCACATAGATCCAAAGCTTTCGACTATACTCATCGATAAATGAGACAAAATACTTGTTTCCACTAATGGTATGATCCTCAAACAGGCCACATACATCTGAATGTACTACTTCTAGTATGCATGGATATCTCATTTGCATAGTCAAAAAATAAAGACTTTCTGGATTGCTTCATACTAAGCAACCTTCATATAGTTTATCGAGCATCACTAGACTTGGTATACCAATTACCATATCTTGAGTAATCAGTTGATTAAGTGACCTAAAGTTTAAATGGTCAAACCTAAAATGCCACAACCAGCTATGCATGTTATCGACAATTGTTTTTAGATATTTTATCTTAGTTGAACTGATCATGGTCTTAAATGTCTTGTTCTTCGACGGATGAGATTTTAAGACTAAGTTATTATGGGTGTCGAAAAATTTAAAGGCTCAATCTTTCATAACCACTGAGAAATTTTTTTTGACCAGTTGGCCAACACTTAGCAAATTGCACTTCATTCCGAGTACATGGTGTACCTCTTTGATCATAGTTTTTTCTTCATTACTCTTTTGAATAACTATGTTGCTAGTACCTTCTGGTTGAAATGAGTTATTATCTACAAGTCTGACTTTGCTCTTCTTCGACTCGTCGAAATTTGCTAACCACAATCTTTGACCAGTCATATGATTCGAGCATCATGTGTCGAGGAACCAGGTCTTAGAGTCAACATGCTCATCTGCAACTACACCCATAAGCATCATACCATCAGAATCATCTAAATCTTGACGTGCAAGGTTTGCTCCTTCATCATCATTTCCTTTTGTCGCTCCCCTTGTCTTTCTTGTACCAACAATTCTTGACCAAGTGACCCTATTTTTCACAGTTATAGCAGTGCACATTTTCTTATCATGTTTGTCTTTTTGATATGAGATTTTTTTCTCCTCTTTTCAAGGATTCAGAAGCCCTATCATCAACCTTATACTTTTGAAGACTTTTCCAAGACTTCTTGCTCTGAGTCTTGTCTCATTTGCCTTTGAACTTATTGGAACAAATATGTTTCTTCCATGTTTGAGCCTACAGTGATTGTATCGAATCTTAAACCCTTGCCTTTCGATAATCTGCAACTCAAGTGCCTCCAACAAACCAACCAAATCTTCCAATTTTAAGATTTCAAGACTGTTGGATTCTTGAATGGATACGATAATGTGATCAAAGTGAGAAGTCAATGTACGCATTACCTTCTCAACTATCATCTTATCAGTTAGGACTTCAAGACAACCTTTCATGAGATAAATAAAATGTTTCACCTTCGAGACATAGTCTACAATCTTTTCATTTTCTCTCATTTGTAGTAATTCATATTGCCTTCGCAATGTCTGTAACTTGACACCTTTAACCTTCTCACCACCTTCATAATACTTGACAAGAATATCACATGCCTCCTTTGCCGCTTCAACATGAGAAATTTGATCAAAAATCACTGCTTTTACTGCAGATTTAATATAGAAAGCATTCTTGCAATGTTTCTTCTTCGTATCCTTGTAAGTAACTCTCTGAGCATTGTTTGCGTTTTGAGCAGGCTCAGGGGCGCCATTAATAACCACTTCTAGAGTTTCTTGAAAGTCAAATAATAACTGCGTCTATTTTCTCCATCAGATCCAATTTTTGCCATCAAGAATTAGGAGAGATTTGCAATATTATTGCTATCATTCATCTTTGCAGCAAACATAATTCACAATCCCTAAAAACACGACCAACGACATGCAGTTCTTGAATTTTCAATCAAAAAGAACAAATCAAAAGCTCTAAATATCAATTTGTTAGTGTTAATGCAATTAAGGTAGAGAATGAAAGATAAAAAATAGAGATAAAAAATGGAAGTTGTTATTGAAAAATTGTTATAACTATATTATGAATTATGTGTCTATAACTAATTTGGGCTTAGACTTGGATTATATCACAACAGGTCTTTTAACAAATTGTTTGGCATCATTCTCAGCACATATAGCATTCAACTTCCCTATTGAATTGATACACATCACCTTTCAGCAATCATCTAGCTCAAGAACATTGGAAAGTTGCATCATTTTTATTCGTTAGTATTAACCTCTAATGTTTTGGTACATATTCCTTTTTTAAGGTGGCAAAACGCACCCGATTATTGGACATATCTATTTTGTCTACACTTTTTTGCAAAATAGTATAAGGTTTTTTTAATGTTCGCTCTCTAATATGTTTGTCTCTATGTCCCATTTTTTGCGAATTTTTAATGGGCGCTAACATTTATATAATTTTTTGTATTTTTAAACTTATAATGTACAATGTCTATAGACATGTCCACCCCGACTTCGTTTTTTACAACAACAAAAAAAACAAATGTTTTAAGTCTGCACCCTAAACAAATATCCGCTCAACCCTATCTTGTTTTTTTGTAGGCTTTCATAAGAAGGATTTTAACTGAACAGACATGCATGTTTGCCATCACCTACCATTGAGAGTCAGTCCTCTCCTAGTTTCTGAGTCTTTAAATCCCACTCCTCATATACCCCCTTATTCAATCCTTTAATCTTGAATGAATACCACCCAACTAGGGAAAGATTGTGCAAAGCCAGTATACTGCACTATCTCTGAAAATCCAAATTACAAACTCCCATGATTCTTTAAACAAAACAAAAAGTTTTACGCCTTCAATTCTTATATACCTATGTAACGAAGAACTAAAGAACGGGCCTAAGACATCTCCCAGCAACTTCCACAAACTTAGATTTGTCCATATTGTTAACCAATCTTTCAATACCAAAAACCCTATCTAATCTACTCATCTAAACACCATTTGGATGATTTTGCCTAAAATGAAGAATACTATTTCCAACTCCAAAAACTGAAACTCAATCTAATTCACATCATTCACCAAAAGCTGATTACCCTAAAAAACTATGAAGAGTCAAATACAGATTTTTACTTGGGTTTATGAAATCACCATTAAGAGTCCAATACAGATTATCAAGTTTTGCTTTATGTAACAAAGATATATACACAATCAAATTTGATTTATGTAACAAAGATAGATACAATGTAGATTATACAGCAACAAGTGAGACACAGATGGTAATTCAATAAAGATATCAAATTCTAATAGTAATTCTATTTTTTGAGCTAACTACTATACGTTGAATTTGATTTCATTCAAAAGGATAGAGACATATTGGACATAGAGCATTAGTAACAAAGCATTCACATCTTCACACCCATTTAGGTGCATGTTTCAACTCCCTTCAACAACTGATTCCAGGTAAAACCAGAATAAAAATCACAAAGGGGTGAGTCATTTTAGAAGCATAAGCAATATACAAAGGAAGTTACCACTCTAAGCCTTTTTTTAACTTTCTATATAAGAAATCTATACCAAAATTCTTTCTTGTTCTGATTACTGCCAAACTCACCACCTTCCCTTCAGTCTGCCTTTTGTACAGCAGTCTTAAACAAAAGGATGTACAGTTTCTGATCCATTGAGAAATATAGAAACCCTCCAACAGAATGGGTCACAAATGAACCAAAACTAGTCCCCACAATACAGTGCCATGCTGGCCCATACACCCCATCAAATTCCTGTAATTTTTCAACCACACAACCGAAATCATTGACCAATCAATCACACTAAACATTGACCAATTTATCTATACACATTTATCATCTTCATTCCAACTAACTTTTAACTGAACTTTATGCAAAATTAATTCTCACAGCATCATCAGAATCACAATTATGCACATAATGAGTAATAATGCTATGAATTGTACCTTTTTCAGAGAAGATGCAAGGGTTTTTGAAGTGAATTTCTCCATACTGTCAAAAGCTTTTCTAGCACAATCAACAGCATGGATCTGCATAAACGGTGGCATATCAGCTGACACCATTTTCGCTCCATTGATTGCAAAGAAATCGCCTAAATCAACCATTGACCCACATAACGATTTTCTTCTACCACCACCGCCACTTTGACCCATAGAAACAGAAACTCTCTCCTTAACAACATCCCCTTCTTCCACAACAGCTACTTTCCTTGACTTTTCATCTTTAACATCTTCAACAACACACCCTTTACAAGCTTCCTTCTTCTCGTTCTTTAACAACCCCTGAAGCTTCCACCTCTCCAATTCCGAACCCGGTTTTTGAGGTTTCGGTTTCTCTTTATGGGTTTTCTTTGAAGTCAAAAAAATACTCTCTTTTTCAAGCTTTGGTGTCAGTACTATGCTTTGTGTGTTGTGGGTTTTGTTGGGTTTTGAGGATTCGAAAATAGCCGAGGTTGTCATGGATTTTGTCTGCAAACGTGAGTCAACATGTTTGGTTTGAGAATGTTTGGTTTTTTTGCTACCTAAGTTAAGGCTTTGAAAGGGTTTAACAAGAAAAGAAGACTTAGTAGCTTGGATCAAATCTGAGTTTGGCTTAGTGTAATGAGAAGGAGAAGGTGAGAAGATGGTAGGTCTAGGTTGCTTTGCCGGAACAGCCGGAGTAGAAGAAGGTGGAGCTGACTCCGGCGGTGCTGTGTTTCGGCGGCGGGAAGAACGGTGAGCCATTTGTTTTGGTGTGTTATTTGTTTTGTTGTGGAAGAAAGAATAGAAAGTGTAAAGTGAAAGTGTTTGGGATATGTTTAGTAGCGTTGGGGAAAGAACAGGGGAGAAGGGGAAGGTGAGTTTGATTGAAACTGTGTGTTTGATAGAGACTTGTGCGGTGAGATTTAGATTGGTGAAGTTGAGTGTTGGCTTGGTTTTGTCACGCGCTAAGGGTATGTGTGTATGTGTATGACCTTTGACTAGCTCTTACGTGTGTGGGAGTGAAAAATAGAGAAAGAGCAGAGGAGGTATAGGTTAGGTGAGGTTTGGTCATGTCTTGGATTTAGAGGTACAAAATGGATTCTCTCATAATTCTCTTCATTTGTGTAGGTTGGTTTAAATTTTGGAAATGCCAATAGAATTGATTTTTAAATTATTTTGAGGTGTTTCATTCTTTTAAATGAATTGGAATTGTTTTAAAATAATTTAATTTTTAAATTATTTTTTAAAGTATCTTATTTTCAGGCATTGTTTTAGTGTAGACGTCATATTCATTAGCAATCATTCATAAGGAACAAGAGTTGTCGCCAATTGAATTGGATATAATACATCGGGTTGTCAATCTAATTGGCGATACAGTGTAAATTGCTAAAGGGTGTTGTAAATTCAATTGGAGTTAGGGTTGAAAGTGAATTTTTTTCTATAAATAGAGGTGGTATGATCATTTATTTTCACATCTCATCTCATATACTTGTATTACTTATAACATGTATCGTCGCTGCTACGGGAAAGTCATCTATTAGAGAGAGAAGTCACATACTATTTTGGAACATTCAAAGTTTTAACCAACTAAAGAGGGAGTTGAATCGGTGGTTAGAAGGAGACATACCTGAAGGGAAAAAAATTAGAAGTATCGAGAGACATGATGCACTGCATGGGTGGGTTCGCGTTAAGACTATCAAGGATGCGAGAGAAGTGATGCTTGAACCAAATAATATCAGTTTGATTGTTGTAATCAATTAAAAATATTTTGTTTATCTGTTTTGATATATGTTGTATGTGTTATTTGTTGTTAACTTTGTTGTAACAAAAAGTCATTAATATATCAAAATTTAAGGTTATAGCAATTGAAAGGAGAAACTAAATTATGATGCAGATGTTGCTCCGAAATTGGGACAATTTTTGCGATTGTGTCTGGGCTGACGACATATACTGCATAATTTTATTAGTCGTATCCATTTCTGTTCTTATATGTGTGCTATTTGGGCGTCCTTTTTTCTTTCTTGACATCTCATCGTTGTGTCAAACTATGTCCCCTTGGTATGGAGATCAATATTCCTCCATTGTTAGCACTGTGAAGCCTTCATTGTCGACATTCATAACGTTAACAGCCTTATAAAAATCGGATAGATGGCTATAAGCATCCTAACGAGCATGTGTGCATGTCGTAATGACATGTGAGTAAGGTACACAGAAGGCCTGGTACTTGCCACCGTCACACCAACATCTATTTAGTTTGACAGCATAAGATAAATTTGGCATCCCGTCATTGTGGTCCATTGTTTTCTGTACACTGAAAGTTTGCTTATGACGGTCAAAGACTATAATTGCATGTGTGTTGGCTTTGATAGTTTCCTCTTTCATCACTTCCATTATGCATTCACTGAATAATTGACCCGACATTAAGACTGTACTACATCTTTTGCCTCTTGTTGCAAAAAGTAATGTCAACCTATAATAGGTTGATCTCACCAATGCGGTGATTAGAAGGTTTCTAATTCTTTTGAAGACGTTGTTCATGGATTCCACAAGGTTTGTTGTCATGTGGCCACAACGACATCCACCGTCAAATGCCTTTGTCCACTTGTCCAATGGAATGTTATCCAACTACCTTCCTGCATCTGCGTTTGACATCCTAATTTTGTTAAGGTAGTATTAAAATGATGGTTGAGTTAGAGCATACCATGCATTCACAATTTTTTTGTGAAGGTTCTTGTCTTTGATTGCACGCATGAAGTTATGTGTGATATGTCTAATGCAATAAATATGGGTAGAAGAATGATTATGCCACCTGTTATCATGGTTATTGTAAGCACTCTCAATAGCATCATGCTTGTTTGAAATCAAACAGAGATTGGCTTGTGGAGCCACATGTGTTCTGAGATTCTTAAGGAAGAAATTCCAACTAGCAATGGTCTCACTTTCAACCAAAGCAAAGGCTAAGGGAAAGACATTATTGTTGTCGTCTTGTGCAACTGCCATAAGCAAGATGCCCTTGTATTTTCGGTATAGCCATGTTCCATCAATTTGAATAATAGGTTTGTAGAATGCAAAACCTTTTATGTATGATTGAAACGCCCAAAAGAGTATGTGAATGTACAGAGATGTTAGAGGATGTGTACATGTTACTCGGGTTGCGTATTGATGGTAAGGCGGTCAATGGAAAAACAACCTTTGAAAATTCAATTTGTGAGAAACTTTTGGGTGTCGACTTGCTGGATGATAATCTAATAGGTCAAGGTATTGTACTTTTGCATCTCAAAACATGGTACAACAGTTTAATATTAGATGAAAATTCTACCGAAGAAATGAAAATAATAAAAACCAGGTATTATCTTATACTTTTACTTGGTTTATTTTTATTTCTCGAAGGTATTGGTTCTACTATGCACGTTATGTATTTACCCTTATTGAGAAACCTAGATAAAACAAGAGAATATAGTTGGGGTTCTGCTTGTTTGTATTATTTGTATAACTCTATGTGTAAGTGCACGAAAAAAATACATCTACTTTTTCTGAATTCGCCGTTTTGCTCCAAGCATGGGGTTGGTCTAGATTGTCATCCTTAGCGCCCGTCAACCACAACATCTTCTCAATCCCGTATGCACAAAAGCAAGTTAATAACTTAATATTAGTTAATTCACCTTACTAATGATTGTGTCTAACTAATTTATTTGAACTTTTTGTTGTTTAGATGGTCGGCTCGGGTATGAGTTACAATAGATTTCCTAGACATTATAGCATTCAATACCGCAATCTCTTGGATCACCTTACACGTGGAGATGTAAGGCCACTAAATGAATCAATTTATTTTTTATATCACTCATTTTATGATCTAATATTTGTATCTTCTTCAGTTTATTTGGCGTCCATATCTAAACATGAAACACCTACATGAAGTCAGTGAAGAAGATGCAGCCATTTAGATTGCATGTGTGTCGATCATCAGATTCACCACTGTGGAAATGCACCACAATGATCGTGTCAACCTACAATTTAAAATGCACCAAAACATCTCAGATCCCCCAATTGACCTCGATAAATAGCATATAAAAAAGTTAATGATCAATGGGACTATCTTGACTATAAGGATTTTGGTAATATGAGTGTCGTAAATGGAGGAACCGTCGCGCCCATGTCTTACGTGACCTAGTGATGGCAACCCCTACCAACTAATACTTATATGGCTTGGTACATATCGGTTACAACTGGGTTTGTCTTCGAAGAGAGGTATCTATACGACCCACGACAAACCACCTACACACAAGAAGCTTCAATGTCTAACCCACCAAGAAATTATCAGACCTGTTACTCACAACCCCCTACCCAACAAAATTACCAACCCACAAACACACAAATCCACCATCCAAACATGTCAAACACCCAACCACAATACCAAGAGCGTCTCCCATACCATCTCCAACAAAATGATTACTATCAAGACACCCAAACTGCATATTCCCCCAACACAACATCAAGATATAACCAAAATGCTTAAACATCATACCATAGCCATAACGCCCAAACATCTTTCCATAGTCACAACGCTCAAACATCATAACATAGCTTACACACACAAACATCACAATAACCTTATGGCTTTCAAACACCAATATCATTTTAACCTTTCACCAACAAAGCATTCACACCAATGTCCCCCTTCAATCATCCAGGCCGCACACCAATGACCCCTTCATCACATTCGAACTACTCTAGCATGGGTCGCGAGCTCGATTTCAACACACAAGACTTCTTGGAAATGTAAGAAATTCTTAGGGATTCAGCTGGGAATGTTCCTGAGACCTCAACTCCTCAAACACCTGGAGTGAATCAACAACGAGGGCAATGAGTGAGGATGCTTAGGAGATGTGGAACCGGTGGCCGGTATGACCAACCTGGTCGTCAATATTAACTTATGTAATATTATTTTTAACTATTGGTTATTTATGTTTAAAAATTTTCACTTTCAACCTTGTCTCCAATTGAATTGGCGACACCCTTTGACAATTTACACTGTATCTTCGATTGGATTGGCAACACCGTGTGTTGTCTCCAATCCAATTGGTGACAACACTTGTTACTTGTGAAGGATCGCCAATTTGTATGGCGCCTACACTCTATCATTACTCCCAAAGTAGGGTATTTTGAAAATTATTTTGAAAACTGGGTTATTTTGAGATTTTTATTTTTAAAAACTGTGGTATTTAAGTAAACATTTCTAGAATTTATAAGTTTTGAATTTTAACGTAATTTTTATATTAAAATTTGTTGTTCAACTCGATTTTATTTATATAAAGTTATATAAATATAAATTATTTTATATTTAACTCACTTTTATCAAAATCAATTTTATCGAATCAATTTATTCAAAATCAATTTTTTTCTATAGAATCAAACAAACTATTAGACACTTCCAAAAACAATTATTATTTCTTCATCTCATTTTTTTAACTTTTACATATTTTCAAAGACACGTTCTATAGGTTGGGTAAAGAGAATTGTATTCAACATTCCAACACACTTACGAAGATAAATTGAGATTCGTGAAATTTCAAAAGAGATTTCCATTGAGGTGTTGTCTCTAAGGAAGGTGAACAAGTCGGTAGCAACCTTAAAGGCATGAGAGGCCTAACAACATTCTTAAACGATATTTCAGTCGATAGATAAATCAATTTGACAATAAATTGCATCCAAATTTAACAACACAAAGCCTTTTTCGAGGTGAGTGTTTTGACTTTGAGTTC